TTTCTTCTCCTTTTTCTTTTTAGTGGCTGAATCAGAGTCACAATGCCTGCGTGAACTATGCGAACCGTAACGCTACAAAGGTAAAAACAAAAAGAAACCTACTCTTTGTCCCTATCAGATCTTGTATAAAGTTCTATTCATTCATTTTTGGGGGTTTATTCCCAACAGTAGATTGTCATGCTAAATACTTTTTCACTTTTTATTCTGTAAATGAAATACAATCTTAAGATATCTCATGATAAAATAAAAAAATATCACGATTGAGTTTAAAGCTGTCTGACACTAGTCGATGTGATAAACTGCGATGCTGTGTTTCTTTTGTCTCTCTTCAGCCTACGCCAACATCTAAGTTTCTTCAAGGCTATGTGGGAGCTGTGACGAGTGCCGTCTCCATTGCAGTGAGTGTTTTTTATCGTTCACTGACCTTAATATCACTGCTTGTTGTATTGTTTACCTGTTGGAACAGTTCTCGCAGCACAGCTCGAACACTGCAGCTGTAAAGACACAGATAAGAAATGTGTTGGAATTTGGCATTTTTAAATGAGATTTCTGTAAGAATGAAATTATGTTTGTTAGCTGAGGTGTAACACGTGTTTGTCTTGTGGTTTAGTATGTGTTTGTATTTGATAGGTGGGACTGAATGTGCTGATTCAGAAGGCCAACAAACTGAGCCCTGCCACCAGAATGATAATCCAGAGATTGGTTCCCTTCCCGGCTGTAGGTGGGTTTTTCAAAGGACCTTGAGTTACAAAGAGGCTGGTTGTTGTGTGGCCCTCTGCTGGTTAGAGTCACAGCCTCTCATTAATGTCACAGTTTATTTACAAATGATAAAATGGTGCATTTAAATCTCAAAGTTCAGACCTTCTTAATTGCATCAATGCCATTTCTGCTTGCTATGAATCGCAGGTTTGATGGTGTTTTATTGCAATTAACTGCTCACCAGCTGCACTAACGAAGATTAGAGTATTTAAATGGTTACCTTTAGACGGAATTTTTGATCTGTGGCTGCATTTTCTTGTGTGTCGGCAGTAGCTCAGGTCCTGGTGAAATGTGTTAAAACGGTCTAAGCTGCTATTCTCCCTCCCCCTCAGCAAGTGCAAACATCTGCAACGTGGGCCTCATGAGACACAATGAGCTGTCTGAGGGTATCGATGTGCTGGACAACAACGGCAATGTGGTGGGGTCGTCCAAAATCGCTGCAAGACATGTCAGTGGCTTTTCTTTTTTGCATGCTCAGCACAGTTGTTACTTGACTGCACTGAATGTGTTTATACGCTGCTGCTGCTGCTGCTGTCAAGTGTGATGGTGGCAGAAAATGGGAAAATGTATCATTTCCTGCTCGGCTCGTGTCACTCAGCGCCCATCTGATTTCATGAAAGGGAAAATTAAATCCAACTCAGTGCGGTGTCTTAAATGAAGCGTGTGCACATCGCTCTCATCTTTATCATCCCCAGGCTATCATGGAGACCGCCTTCACACGTGTGGTCCTCCCGATGCCGATCTTCGTGCTGCCCCCCATCATCATGTCCTACCTCGAGAGGTTTGTGCAGCAACACGGTGATGTGTTTTTTTTGAAAAACAACTAGAGCTGCATTTTTTTTTGTTATTTTCTCAAATAAGAAGTCAGTCAGTTGGCCGAGAAAAGAAAATGGTAAAAATGACCATCACGGCCCAGTGTGATTTTTAAATTTATTTTATTTAACCTTTATTTAATCAGGAAGTCCCATTGAGATTCTAAATCTCTTTTACAAGAGAGAGCTGGCCAAGGTAGCAGCCAATCACAGCATATTAAGATGCAACAAATACAAATAAACAACAAGAACGACTATTAAAGCATAGTGGACCTCTCAAGAAAAACAATCACGTCTCCATCACAACATTCTTTATGATGCTCTTAAATTTATTAAGTGATTTGAGTGTTTCTAATCTAAGATCTTTCTGCAGATTATTCCAAGCCCATGGGGCATAGTAGGAAAATGCAGTTTTCCCCCAAATCAGTTAAAACCCAGGCTACGTTGAAAAGTTCCCACTTGGAGGAGCGTAGCTGGTGACGAACAGAGCTGACACAGAGAAGGTTACTTATAGAGAGATGCATTATATTATCTAAGAGAGTAAAAACTCAAGTATTTGTCAGAAAAAAACTAATATATATATATATGTGTATATATATATATGAAACACTAAAACCTCGGCTTTTGCTCACAGACTGAACAGACCAATGTTTTAGGCTAAAATGACAACAAAAATAATGTAGTTCTTTACACAGTGAGTCAAACATCTTGTCTAGATTGAGGTAGCATAACAGTAAATCTGGTTCAGATCTTTCCCATTTTGAATCTACATTTATTACCCAAGTACAGTCAAATGTGCTCAACTAAGTACATTTAACCCAAGAAATGGCGGCTTATTGAGGGGCAATAGCAGATATGAGCAAGGGGGAAATTGTGACTTGTGACGTGTGGTTTCAGAGTTGCCATGGGAGCACATGCATGTGCACATTAGCAACACGACTAAATATTTCCACACAGCGGCTTAGATGTGAATCCAAAACACTTCATAGATACACGATTAATATCATTTGGCAGGCTGTACATAAACTAACAAGGTTGGATGTGCGGAGACAAAGCTCTGCTCTGAATGTGGCAGATTGAACTAATGACAGTAAGATGTTTCTGTAACTTGTGTATTACCTGCAGGGAGAGTGGTGTTAATATGGACCAGTCTTTGTAATAATTACCTTTAAACAGAATTAACTTACATTGTACAGTATTGAAATATACATAGACAATGAGGATGTTATTGCCAGGAAATGATCAAAGCAGATGTTATTCCAAAACATGGCAACTGTGCAGCAGAATTCACGCTTTGAAACAACCGAGTATGCACTATGTTGGAAGGGATAATGGGCAGACTGAGAGCGTCAATCACAAGACAGTTAATGAGGCTGTCGACGCTGGTTTGTAGAATGTTATTTTTGTTCGGTGTACATTCAGGCATGAAACATAATTAGGTCTCTGTGTCAGTTTCTGACCTGTTTCTTTCCCTACCTTGCCATCCATCTATCTATGCCATCTGCGACCTCTGAGATGAGGAGTTTAAGCTCCAAGGTGGCTTTTGGGGAAACCTATTGACAGTACAAAGGGAAATCTATGCTTCATGAAACTTATAGCTGCAATTAGTGTAAAGTTTTTAGAGCTAATAGTATGAGCGAAAATGTATTTTTATTTATTTTTATGTATTTTTGTATTTTTTTGTTGAAGAGGGATGTAGTGTCCCCCAATGAGCCCCATTGGTTATGACCTGATCCGTATCTTTTTTTAAATGTTCAGAGGCTTAAAGAAGTTAGTGACTCAGTAACTCAGTAGAAAGCAGGACATGTCAGAGAAAAGTGAGCAAAAAGAAGCACCATTTTGTGCCTCAGAAATACATGTTTCCTGGTTTATATCCTGTTAAACATTTCATGACTCCACATTAATTTTAGGGCTGCTTTGGGGGTCCTAACCCCCTCGCTGGGGGAGCGCTGGTCTACAAGATTAAACATTTTTTATTAAAAAGAAATAACAGGACGGGTATGAGCATTCTGAAAACACACCAAGTGCACATTTAGTCAAAAATGAGTTTTGGACGGAATCAGATTTGCTTTATTGTATAAAATATAATCAGGCACAGAAAAAAAATCATGTAAAGTAGATCTAAAATTTTCTGATTTACTATCCAATATGAATAGTAGTTGAATCAAACAATGAACGAAGTAACAGCAGCTAAAACCTCTGATAACCACCTAAACACTATGAACAGCTAGTTGCCTGCTGGAGGATGACTAACATGAGTTGCCCCGTTTTGCAGCATCAGCTCTTCCTTATCCAGGAAATCTGCCTAAGACACCATTAAATTTACTTTTTCTCTGTTCATTTGTTTTAACATTTGCCACACCTGCCTTAAACCCTTCATATCTCATCTTCATCCTTGCTTCAGTTACTGCTTTCTGTCTTTGTAGGGCAGCATTGTGTGTCTGAGTCTGGACTAAAAATACACTGTAAATAATCTGTGTAGTGAGCCAAAGCCGACATATGTTGTGCCCCAGAGTGCTTTCTATACTAGTAGGTCACTACAGTCAGAGAAGATACAAAAAGAATCAAATACGGTGTGTTAATGTAGAATTAAATAAAACACCATCTCTTGCTCATTGAACTCACACAGACAGATAAATGTCCCACCCACCAGCTGAGTGAAACAGCTCCCCCAAATCTGCACACCATGTTTTTTTCTCCAGATCCAAAAATAACTCTGGGCTTTTGCAGTAGTCATCTGGGATCGATCCACACTGCAGGCTCACGTTTCTTTTGTTTTTATCTTTGTCTTGACTTGTGTAGGCTGCGATTCCTGCAGAGCAACCGCAGATTGTTGCTGCCCATCCACAGCTTTGTGTGCCTGGTCACCTTCGGCCTCTCGCTGCCTGTGGCCATCAGCCTGTTCCCCCAGATGTCTCAGGTACATTATATACTGTCAGATGAGCTGCTGCTTTAAAGCCCAGATGGTTCAGGGAGCAGCTGTGGAAAAATTCAAATTACGTATCCACCACTTGACATGCACAGCCCCGGCCCACACCTCTTATTCCAGATGCCCCCCCCTCCCCGCGTCTGATTAAAAATGACTTTCAAGGCTAAAGACAGAGGCGCAGCGCTGAATTCTTACCTTCGGTTTAATTTCATTTATTTAATTATTTATTTTGGGCAGATTGAAGTATCTCGCCTTGAGCCGGAGATCGCCATGGCAACAGATTGCAAGGTGGTGACCTACAACAAGGGTTTATGATGGATGGCGCGGTGTGGGAGAGGAGAGAACGGAGAGCGAGGACGGCAGCGAGGCTGCGGCGTGAGAAGCTGTCGAGGGGAGAACCTGCAGCAGGGTTCCTCCTGTCGACAGGCTGGGGAACTATCTGCTGCATCGTTATCGCTGTAGATCATCGTGTACTAACCCAGTGTTTCTAAACCTGTTTTCTACTGTGCTCGGGTAATTATCGAGTCACGGATTGTTGGGAGTTTTTTCCTGATTTTTCGAAACTCTGTGTATAGAAATGGTGTTTTATTTGCTGTAAGATCCATTTTTAGCATTAATGAATTGTTTAATATGTACATTAGAGTGTTTCCCAAACATGTTGTACTTTGGAGGCCTACTGAAGCGTAGCTCTGGCTACTCAAGTATATTTTAAGGCTATAATTGCAATTTAATATGCAATACATTGTATTTTTGTCCACTGGGGGGGTTATGCTAAACAGAACACTGACATAATATCAACTCTTGATGTGGCAAATGTCTTGACAGATTCCTATTTACACATCTAGCAGAGCTATTATTTATTTGGGGCTGTATTTTTGGCCACCTGATGACTTTTAAGTCCAACATTCAGAGTCACTTTTTGGTCTCCACCCCCCTCATGGGAGGAAAATATCTGGATTTTCAGCTGCTAAGTGCTCCACTGTGGTCAGCAGCTGTGCAGTGAGTTTGTCAGAGCTGCTTTGCTGAAAAACAGCTGCGAGTGAATCTAAACAGTGAAGCTCGGAGGCTGGGAAAGAAAAAAGAAAAAAGAGAGGTGATGGAGGTTATGAAGCTCTGTAGAAGTGAGGGGAGCTGCAGAGTCAGATAATAATTCTCTCTGGGTTTATCACAAAGAGTAACTCTTCACAGCAATGCAGCAATCCTGCGGTCCATTTTCACACAAGCATATGTATATGATCTGTTCTCATGCATGTGGCTTTGCATCACCAGCGCTGCCACAAAGTACAATCCTGCTTCCTCTTTTGTCAAGTCAGAGCGAGCAGACAGTCGACTGACAGGTTTTGGTGCTAAACAGGAGCTTGTTAGCGAATTAGCTGCTATTTAATTCATCTTATGTCAGCAGATCAGCTCCTAAATCAGTGGTGTCCAGTTATTTCTACTGTGTGACACATAAAAATGAAGCGTTGTCTGCTTACAGTTTCTCGACAAATAGATTATTTTTTGTTCCTCGATCTGAAGAGGTGAAATTTTCAAGTCTGAGTCAGGAAAAAAAAAAAAAGCAGTAGTTGACTTTTTTTTCTGGTTGTAATCAGGTGATCATTAATTTGAATCAGGGGGCTTCTTTTAAGCCTGACCAATACTTGATTTTTAATTTAAAAAAAAATATATTGCTAATGATATACCAGCACTTTAATACCTTAAAACGGAAAACCACAGATGACGTGTACTGAGTGGGACAATTTACAGCTGAAAACCCGACATATCAGTGTTCTCTGGTGGACAAACGAAAGCAAATATGATGGAGACCTTTCTGAACAGCAGTTTCTAGTCACTTATTGACTGCCATATACGCTGATAATCACAGAGGCTCCAGACTTTGAAAGTGGTTCATAAAAGTTTTCAACCTTTGGGAAACATTTCGCAATAAATGTACATTCTCAGATATCTCCTGGGAACAGCAGGCAGCACTGCTGATAAAAACTAATGTGAAACCTGCTGATGGTGACTGTGGTGCAAAATCACCACGTGAAGCCGCTCTGTCTGTGGGAACACAATGCATGCTGTACTGTACATGTTTATAGTTTATAAACTTTTTAAAAAGACAGCTGATTACATGCCAGATATTTTAACCCAAATAATGTGATATAACATGTGAAACTCTTGACTTAACTTTCCTTCCTAACTTGTATGAAGGATGTTTTGTTCCTCTACTGACTGTTGTTAAACCACTGATGTATTCTTAAGAAATTCTTATTAAATTTGTTCTTTTGTACAATATTATATAACATTTATTTAGCCTATATATATAAATATACATATATATATATTGTTCGACTGATTCTGTTTTTAATTCTTTGTATAATACTTCTACTGCTACTACTTAATGTTTGCTAGACAAACAGTGTAAAACATCTCTATATATTATAATAAATACACTCTCCCTGTATACACAGTGTTTGGACTCTTTACTTCAGCTGCTTAGTTGTTGCTTGAAGATATTAGTCCTGCTCTGCATGAGGCTTTGAATAGATCTCATAACTGCTTTACCTTTAGCACCATATCCACAATTTTTTAAAATTATTATTGTTTTTTAAATTTATTCTTGAAGATGGAGGCTAAGCGTGCAGATTCATTTAGGTTGTTTAATTTAGAGTATAATGCTTGTACTTAATTTGTAATTATAATCAGAATCAATTTGTACATGCAAACAAGGAATTAGACTTCAGTGACTCTCAGCTGTCTGTGTACAATATTCAGAAAAAAAAGATGTGCACTATTGTATCTCATAAGGTTAACTGGGTCCTCTGGTGGCAACAATAATAGGAGTGTAAGTCTAAAACTATTTGTGTTGAATTCTTTAAAAAATAAAAAAGTTGCAAATGATGATTGTATGATTAATCTGTTTTACACTTTTGTTCAGTTCAGTCTAGTTTCAGCTCACTGAAACAATTTTAATAGTCATTCACACTTAGACTTAGATAAACTTTATTGATCCACAGGGGAAATTGTTCTATCCCAGTAGCACAAAATATAAGAATATGCAAAAAAAAAAAAGGAATAAAAATAAAACTTAAAAAAAAAATACATTACAATGATTTCCATATGTACAATTCACGATTTTAGTTGTTTTTTGAATTTGCTATTTGCCAAGTAAAGAAAGACAACAAAATAATATAAAAAAGATAAATAACT